GGAGACTAAACTTTGTAAATAAATATTGAACAACTCTATCCGAGCATCTTCACAGCTCATATTTGAAGTTCAGTAGTGTGGTGCTAGCCCATCTTGAATCCTGTGTCCATCAAAAAATTCAAGGTCAGGAAGGCTCAGAGAAAGCTCAGATCTACCAATCAGTTCTTTTTTGGTTGGAAATGCTTGTAAGAAGGCTCTTATTTTTAGTGTCTGACACTGGAGATTGGAACTGGAGTGGGTGGAAGGATGGAGGTCCTTGCAAAAAAACATCAGACCAAGCAACAAGGCTGCTTCCCTGAGGAAGAACACGATGGTGTTTGGCTGCCAGAGTCCTGGACAGCTGCTGGCTGAGCTGCAGGATCAATGTCAGGCTAGTTCTTTAGTGGAGATCAATGAAGAGGTAGTCCCTTTCTGTGTCTTTTTATTGAGCGGTTCTATGGGCAGAAGTAATTTCAGCAAATCTAGGAGGATTTGGCTTCTTTCTCTGCCCTTTGGCTTAAGACTGTAGTTTTCTGTAAACTGAAAACACCATTTTAAAAATCCAAAATCACAACCCTCTGTAACAGGTCACAAGCCTGCCTGTAAGGAAGTGGCCATGTGTGAGCAGGACAGGTCTGTCACCTGGGCTGGCAGCAGGGAAGTCTCATCGACTGCTTGGTGAATGGCAGCTTCCTGAGCTGTCAGACTCATTAAGGACACACTTCTAATTTGGTCAGGCAAGGGCTGCCAGGCTGCATTGTGTGGGGTTAAGCAGCGTGAATAGAGCCCGTAAGCAAAGCTGCTGGAATCTGCTTTTGTGTTCCCTTTGGACGCCTGTCCTCCGCTTTTGGCTTCTTTTCCAGTTCGAAGTGGCCACGTGGAGTTTTGGCACGATGACTGCTGTTGGTAGATGAGTTATAGATTGCAGAAGTGATCTAACTTGTGCTGAGAGGAGTTACTCAGCTTCTCTTCTCAGCTGTTTTTGCATGCATACACTTAGAGTGTCAATTCACTACTTTGTGGGACTTAATTAGAAATGGATTAAACCCTTTCTCTTTAAAACCCAATTTGAACTGCTAGAGGTATTTTCCTTATCATCCCTGCTCACACGTGCTAGGCACTGCCTATATAGCAATTAAAATTTGCATTTCTTTTCTACCATCAAAAGATAACCTTCCTCCCCTTCCCACAAGCCATGGAGTCCTGCAGGTGTTTTTGGAGGTCTGACAGTTGTGCCTTCGCCATGCACTCCAGTCCCTGGAAGAGCTGGGAGGCTGTGGACTGACCCTTTGGACACGGGAGAAACCCCCACTTTGCTGGTGGGGAAAACCTGCCCCATGCAGTCTGGCTGGCTGGGTGTGCTGGCGCTGTGTGTGTCTGGCTGGAGCAATTCCTCATGGGATTATTGTGAAAGGTTGAGCAAGGAGAAGAGATTGTTTTCATCTCATAAAGGGAACAACCAGATTGTCTCACTGCTGTCTTTCCCCCGTGTGCGTCAGAATACTGTTAATTTAGGAGTTGGAACCCAGTGGAGGATTTTCTGATTCTCTACCATGTGTTTGCCTTTGTGATTCCAGTTTCTTTCATCCTTTGGGGATGTTTCTTCCCTGACATCTTCAGCCTTACCAGAACTTATTTTTGTTTCTGCCAGAGGAAACACTGAAATTAATAGTACTTGGTAACCATTTTCTACATCTTCATCTGATTGATCTGATTATGTTAAGACTGAGTCGAATACTCCATTAAGAGTTTCAAATGCTATGAGAACTGAAGCAGGAAGAGGTTTCCCAGGAGACTGACTGTGTGTGCCTGTGTGGAGCAGACTTGGCAGGGAATTGGCCTGCACAGTTCCCTGCCAGAGAGCAGCACAGCTCCAGCACTTCTGTCACCAGATACCTGGGGTGATCCTGAGCTGGGAATAGACACCTGCTGGCTCAGACTTTTTTATCACCCTGGGGGCTGCTCTGCCCTCCAGAAACAAGGGGAATTCATGCCTCTGCCTGTTCATCTACAGGAATATTGATGTAATGCAGTGCCCCATTTTGGGAAGCAGTGTTTTTCCAAGGATGGAAAAGTGCTTGCTCTGTGGGAGGGAATACTTCTTGCAAACAAGCACTGAATTTCCTCATTTTACTTTACTAGGGATTTCTATTAGAAAATAAGGCTGGAGGGGGGAAGTTTGGAATGATTCTGGGAAGCTTTGACTCAGAAAAGGGAGAATGATTCATGTTATTACTGTTATTTATTAAGGAGAACAGACCATGAACATGATCTTTTACTTATCTTTGGAAACCTAAAGCACTTATGCAGTGACCCCAAAAGAGTTTGTGGGTTTGAACCAAGATCTTCCACCATAAAAGCTAAATCCCAGCTGTGGGAGCTGGCCCACAACATTTTATGAGGATGTACTCCTATTACCTTCATACTTGATAAGTATTTTAATATCCTTAGTGCTTCCCTTCTCTGTTTGTGAAACGAGGTAGTAAATAAGGCTTGAAACTTGACCCTTTCTGTGCTGTGACAGTGGTCAGTTTATCTCTGGTTATTGCTGGGGTCTCAATGTAAGAGGTTATTCAAGAGTCAGTCTAGTTTTGGTGGGGAGAATTTGATTTCTGAGAAAAGCAATTTGTTTAGTAGTAACGTGTTTTGTCTTTTTAATTTGGAAATAAACATTTACTTCTCCAAAAATAACTTTCCTGTTAATAATCAAAACCTAAGATAATCAAAGGTATAATTAGAAAGGACGTCTTAAGCTCCATCTTAAGATAATACTGAGAACTGTGAGATAATTTACATTTGTGTTTGTATTCTACTGTGAAAAATAGATAAGTGCAACCTGAACAATGTTTTAATTATATTTGGTAAGAGAATTTAAATGAGGAAAAATCAAAACTTGACACAGTCTATGTCCCACCTGCAACTTTATTATTGTATTTCAGAAGGTAGTATAACTTCATCTTTTAGCTAATTCCTTAGGTCGGTTTTTTAAGGAATCAATCAGACAAGGTTCTGTCCATTTTATGGAAATAGAAAGGCACTTGACTGTGGCCACACAGTTTTGTCTTCTCCACTTGTAGTATCGTACCGTACACCCCTAATACTTTTGGGTGTGCTGTCAGAGGCTGAGAATCAGAGAAGTTAAGAGAGAGTTTTAACTCATAGGTTTAACTTCAAGAGTTAGAGACTGTAACAAATATCTCCATTACCCTCCTGAAAAATCCTGTTAGCAAAGCGGTCCCATCGTATCTAAGTTACTGGCTTGAGTATTGCTTGCATTGTCTGTTAAAGTGTAGCAGCTCAATCTCAGAGATTGAGAAGGCATTGCAAAGACTCTACTAGCGAAAAAAAATGGATAGGAAGGACAAATTGTTGCAGCAAGTATAGAGACTTGAACTTAGACTGTATTTCAGTGCACTGGCGAAGGCAAAGTCCTCAGCTTCCACAACTGTGAATCAAACACTTCTGACTAACTTAACACCCATCCCAGAAGGATTTCCGTACAGGCTCAAGAAAACTGATTTGTGTCAGTTGGAATAATCACACTGCTCAAAGTTAAGAGGTCTCCAAGGTTTTGTATAATCAACAAAAATCTTAATTGCGTTCAACCCCAGATAAGAATTTATCAGTAATAACGGATATTTAGTTGACATGTAAGCAGTCCTGTGAGGTCACCAAAAAACATTTCTTGGATCATATCTGCTAGTTGAGTTGAAAGTTTTCTTTGCTTAAAGGTCCAAAGTAATGTCAGCCACATGGCCATGGAAGAGATGTGATAAGGCATTGAAAATCCATCAGTGTTTTCTTCATAAAGCTGCAAAATAAACACATTGAACTTTCCTGTAGTCAATTTATGCCTGAAATCATCTTATCCTGTGTCCTGTGAGAGAATCTGAGAAACTGCTGTGGAAGAAATAAGATCCTCTGTCAGGATTGTGAATACCTTCCAAATCTGAACTCGGTGAGCTATGCACTCAAGTACTGGAGTCTATGGGTGACCTTACAGGGAGGGGCTGCATAAACATACAAACATATACATAACATAAACAAACATATGTCAAACATATTGTAGAGGTTTCCTCCTACTGGGCTTGGACTTTGTAGCTCAATTAGGTTGCCAGAATTAAACACGATACAGTTTGTGGCTTTTGTGTCGTATTTCTTAATGCAGTGCCTGATGTACAAATTGAATATTGCAGCAGAATACAGGGATCAGTAGTTACCCTACCAAGTGACCTGTCTCCTTTCCTTGCTTTGACCTCTGGAGCTCTCCTTGGCTATCCTCGTCTCCCTCCCCAAATCAGCAATCTCTGCATAAAGGAAATGAGCATCAAGATCGTTCCCAGCAAGAAGTATCTTCATAATAAGAACAAAATCTCTATTTCATGGAAACATTTTATGAGTCAACATGCCGAAATCCACAGTTCAGGCAGTACATCCCAAAGATCATTATTAAGTAGTATGGTTAAGAACTGTTTTCTTGGGAGTGATTTTGCTACTTGGGCAAATCTCTCACAGGTACAGCCTATTAGGAAGTGCAGACCTCTTCCTATAAACAAGCAAGCAAAAACAATCCAAAGGACAGCAATGATCTGTTGCCTTGCCAGTAGGGAAAGTCCAAGAGAAGGCATAGACTTCAGCAGAAGTAGAATCTTGGGGGGAAAAGCTGTAGTCTATAATGGGATTTTTTGAAGGAACCATTTATTCTGTACAAAATTGTCCGGTCAAAAGAGCTGATGAGTTTAAGGAACCAGCAGAAATACCCAAGGAAAAGCTCAGGCAGCCCAGCCTGGTTATTGAATTGAATGCAACACTCTCTTTGTATAGTACAGGTGGGCCTGAGAAGAGATTTAAGTCATCTGCTATGCAACATGATTTTCTTTGCCATAGCCAATTTCATCTACAGCAGCCAACACTGATTTTTCAAGTGGGTAACTCCAGCATTTGCAATCTGAGAATGCAGCCCCCTTTTTTATCTTTTTTTTCCTCTTTTTTTTTCTTTCTCTTTTTTTTTTTTTTTTTTTTTAATTGAAGATGATCAAAAGAACTCAAATTACAGGAACTTCCCTCACCTGAGAGGCACAGAGTTTGGTAAGTAGATCTTTTTGAAAGTTCTCTTAAGAACACCCCTAGCTTCAGCCTGGTGATTCAACACTGATCTGTTCCTCTCTTCTCCTAGGAATAAGAATTCAAGTACCAGCAAGAAGGTAAGCTGTGTAGTGAGTTATTACAAATTTCACATCCATTCCGAAAAGATTCTTCCTAGAAATCCTTTGAATATGAAATTCAAATACTCTTTGAAGTCAGTTGTCTTGGAAAATTTTCTGGTCCTTTTTTTTTTTACCCAGTTCATGTAGAATGTGATAATTTATTCTTTTGTTTCCTTGGCTGAAGGGAATTCAGTGTGTATTTTTGCTTCACCCCTCTAGTTTGAGTGATTCATCTTGCCTTCCAAAGTGATTACATGTCCATCAATCCAACCACAAACCCCTTTTTGAAAACTCCTTGCTGCTGTTATATATACTGAATAAATCCCAGCCAGACTACCTCAAACATATGTTTCTGTGACACAATAAAATGATTGCAGGGATTATAGCTCTCTGTAGCTGCAACTGAGAGCGTTGAGCAAATAAACCAAACAACTTCACATTCCCCACCCCACTCGGTAAAACCACTGCAAACTGTGTATAACCTGTATTTGTTCTTTTCCTGCAGCATCCAGAAGAGTCTGTGGAAGCAGCTACCTGGAGCAGCTCTCTTGCTGTTTTCCACCTGCTTCAAAATGGATTTCTCCTGAACCCTGAAAGCAGTGAATTCTTTTGAAAGAAAATTACCTGACTGAAGCAGAATACAATGTGAAGAGTCTTCCACGTTAGTCCTATATCCAGGAAGCCTCCCTTCAGGATTAGTGGTTCCTCGGATGCGTTGATAGCCAGGGCTGGCAGTGTTCTCACAGGCAGAGTAACTTTCAGGTGGCCTCCTTGGCTCTGGTTTTGCCTCAGGTTGTTTTTACTTCTCTTTCCTCAGAGCTGTTTTTCCTTGTCAGCTCCTCTTCTTCCTCTTTTACTCATGTTGTTCTTCAAGAGCAAATTCTCATAAACTTACATCATGGTTGCTCTGTCTCCACCTTCTGCTCTTTGTATTTCAGTATTATATTTCACTTGTTATGGTTTATTTTTAATCAAACCATATCACATTACTTTTTGGGGCTACAGAAGAGTGTTTGACATGTTTAAGTTGCCACTGTGAGGTTCTTCTCCAAACAGAATTCAAACCATTATGTTGCAATCTGTACCAGAGCCTTTCTAGCAGCTGTGTTTATACAGCTTCTAGTAAAATGGGTCCCTGATTAGGATTTTTGAATGGCTCATTCACTGAAAAAATGGTGTTTTGAACCAGCTAAAGCTATTTTAAAAATTGGGATAATATATGATTAAAAGTTTCGGTTTGAAGAAATCAGTGGCAACACCCTGCCAAATTTTAGGCCTCAAACATCCTCACCATTAGTATCATAAAGATTAAGTTACTGGATTTTAACTGGGAAAGAAGTGGTTTTCTTTTGCTTGTTGAAAAATTAACTGCAAAAGTCATTTGTCACAGATTGAAAATTTAATGTTTAGTCACCCAAAATTGTTGAAGCTCGGTAAATTAGATAAAACTGAAGATAGGTTCTTTGTTGTTTTTTTTTTTAATTTTCCAGCAACAATGACTTGAGGGCAACTTAATCTAGAACAGAAACTGAACATTAGGCAGTTCTGGAGTTGCTCCACTGTTATCAAGACAAGCTTTTTGAAAAACCAAGCCCCATCCTCAGCTGAGTGACACTGACACACACCACAGACTCTGTGTGTTGGGCAGGTGGGTTTTCAGGAGCCTGTCTGCTCCTTCCATGCCAGGCAACCTCCTCAGGAGGATGTAGAAGCAATAGCTGCTGTCTCAAAAGCAGTGCCTTCTGCAGGGAACCCTGAGGCTCTTCCTCCCACTGGTGAGGCTGTGGACAAAAGGTTTCTCATCCTTGCTGTTCTCCATGGTGGAGGTGGCAGCTGCATTTCCGGAATTCTGCAGGTTACTTGTGTTCATGCTGCAGACACTGGTGCTGTACAAAACTAAAGGCTCATTAAGGTAGGGAAACAGAAGTGCTGCTTCTGCTCCATTAAACTGGAACTCAGGATTAAAGGACCAAAAGCTACTTCGACTGACAAACTTCATATTTAAATGTTTTTTAAATTGTAAACTAAGAGCAAAGATTTATAAGTTTGTGTCATGGTCCATAAATCTGGATTTTGTCCTTTGCCTCTAGACAAATTGCTTGTAGAGGAATTTGTAGTGGTTTGGATAAGTCTAGGTTTCAGCAGTCAGCCCTCTTAAGTCAGACATATATGAAACATCTGTGATTGTTTCAGGAACTTGGCAGACAATCACATACTTAAATCACATTTTCCCCTTTGAACATTGGAAATGTCCATATATAAATTAGACACACAAGCCACATAACTCTGCATTTGCGAATTAGACAAGGTATCAACCTGCTGTTACCTTGCAAATCCTACTGCAAGGTAAGAGCAAGTTGATACCTTGCCATAGTGAAAGAGAGCAGTTTAAAGTTATTTAAAACTCTCTAACTTTTTTGTGCCCTGAAATAAAACCTAAGAGCTTTAAGGGGAGTTGTTGCTAAATGGCAGGCTACTTTAGTGTTCAGAATTTGCAAGTTAGCCAAAAGACTAAGACTAAAATCAAAAGGTTCTTTGAGTAAAATTTTACAACCCCTCCTTTCCAAGCAGAATTGCTGAGTTACGTGTGTAGTTGTCACATGCTGGGCCCCTGAGTACATTCACCATGCTGTTGTGCAGAGTCTGTCTAGAATCATCTCATCCTGTAATGAGATCATGTGAATTCAAAGCATATGAAACTTAATCCTAGTTTTCAGGATTATACCCTGTAAATTTAAAATTGCAGAGTATAAAAAACACATAATGTTCCTGACTGCTTATTATAAAAAAGGGGGCCCAGCTCATTGTGAACCAGCTTTGGTTCTGCCGCTGAAAGCAGAATTTGGTAAAGGAACTTCAGTGGGAGATTGAAGCTGATGTCTGGTGACCTTTGTCAGGCAGAACAAATGATTCTATGTTTGCTAGAATTGTGTTAGTGCTGGATGCTTCTGGTACAGCCTGAGCAAACAAAGTTTACAAGTCTGGCTGTCTATCAGCAAACTTTGCCTTTTGATTAAGTCTACAAATGCTGCAGCATGGACCCTCCAGGTAGGAATTTAGGTTCTGCTTTATTTGATGCCAGGTCCTTCAATAGTTCTAGAAAGTAATTTTGCTTGTAATAGAAAAGCGTGATGAAAACAGACATAATCCTGAAGAATGTGTTAAAATCAATTGCTGTGTCTTAGATTACTGCATAGGACATGTCCTTTGGTACACACAGGAATTGTTTGAACAGTTAAAGACAGCAAGGAAGAGGCTGTCACACACATACAGGCTGTACCTCTGTGAACTCCAGCTCTGGCATGACAAAGCAGAGCTATCTACTGTTTAGGCTTAACCCAGCTCATAGTGGACACAGAGCCAAAACTAGGCAAGAAAACGCTCCCCAAAACAGAGAAGCCAAAATTTGCAACCAGTCATTGTCTTCTGTATGAACTACCTCTAAGAGCTAGAGGCTACATGCTTCTGACTTGACCACTAAAATGCTATGAATTTACTGTGGAAGTACCCTTGGTAGCTTTGAGCTTGAGGATGTACAAGGTTTCTTAGCAGTGTTCAATGACCTGTCTTGTGTAATGCCGGGTCTTTCCATGTTCAGCTCACTGCTTTATTCTAAGGACAAGCTTAGTTGGTTGCCAATAGTCCTTCTGTAGCAGAGATTTTAACTCTGCCTGATTGAGCAGCATCACACTGGAGGGAATAAAGGTGGAAGGATTGTCTTCCCCAAAGCTGATGCTGGAACAAAAATTACCTACACTGGCTCCAATATGTCACTGATGTGGAAAACAAGCTTATTGTTTTCTTCCAGCACTTTCTGCCACCTCCTTTACCTTTCTTTCCTTTCTGTCTTCTGTACTTTGGCCTCACTGCTCTCTCCTATATATCTCTCTCTTCTTTCAGTTATTGTTCCTTTACACGCTTAATGCAAGGCATCCCAGTTTTAACTGGGTTTTTTTGCCTTATTCCCTGGGAAACATCTATATCCTTTCTGTTCCCTTCCCAGGGTGTATTTTTATGCCAGCATTGGTGCATCTCAGCCAGTTGCAAGCCTCCCTCTCCTCCAGCTGAGCAAGAAGTTGATAGCAACAGACTGTGTGCCTGACTGGACTCAGCTGAGCATCTCCCCTTTGGATGTTCTTGGTGGCTGCTGCCATGCTCCCCACAGCATGGCCCAGTTTCTCTCTCTGTGGTGATGAGAGGGTTGGCATAGAAACTGTAAAGCAACCTGGCATCTTCCACAACTGTATTTATTTGCCCCTTGAAGAATGTAACTTTCCTTTTAAGGAAGACAAACCTATTTGGAAGATATTCTTGACATCTTTGGGGTAATACAGTGTAGTGTTTCTCTTACCAGCCTATCTGAACCATTTCAGGAGGTTGTGGTGGGTTAGAGCTGATTGGCAGCTGTCAGTCACTGGTTCTGCATTGTCAGTGTTTTTCTTAGGCAGGCTGAATTGCCTGATGGAGCTCTCTGGAATGTAGCAGGAGGCAGTGCAGCATTTTAAATTAATTGCTTGTGGAGATAGCTGCAGGATTGTGGTGTCAGAAAATATTGCTAAATCTCCAGGGATTTCTTGGCATTTTGTTGCCACAATAAAGTCATAGTTGTCAGAGTGGCTTAGTACAGCCACCAATATATGTACACTTATTTATGCAGCCTGAAAATGTAGTGCAATAATAAAATACTCTATTTACATTTCTGAGACTTGCATTCGAGTCTTCTAATGCTGCTTTTGTCATTGTCTAAATGCATATTTCTTATATATGAAATTTATAGACATGTTAAGAAGAGTTGTCAGTAAAGTCACGTTTTGCAACCAGTCTTAAACATGATCCTAACTTGTGGGTTTGCGTCTCTGTTGTTTTTTCACCTAAGCATTTCAGTTTTGGAAATCCATATTTATAAGTAATTTGTTCCACAGTAGAATTGCCATGGCATTGTTAATACCGGGATGACAAGTGGCCTGAAAATGAAGTGTTGAGCAAACAAAAGCAATTTCCACGTGAGCTTTTTTTGACTGTCCTGAAGTCCATCCAGTCTGTGTTGTGGAGCATTTGCAAAGTAAGATTAATTCTGGGCAGACCTGCTGCTGAGTTACAGGAAGGCAGTCAGCTGAGACCAAAAAATGAGGCTCCTGTGTCTCCAGCTTTCACCTTTCAACCAGTCAAAAGTTTGTTTGCTTTAAGAATGTAAAGGTATCTGTTTTACTGTGTGTCATAATTGAAACCTCCATGTTCAGGGTTATGTTCACTATAAATTATCCTAGTTGCACAAGTGTGAAAAACACTTGTGCTGTATGGTGTTTTTCTCACACTGTATTTGTGTCCATTCCTCTTATGTCCAGTGAGATGTTTCAGTTAAAGCATTATGGTTAAGTCAGAAGAGCATCCACCCTGTCAGCAACTTGGAGAATGCTCCAATTATCTTCTTACCCATGTCTGTGGGACTAAACCATGAACATCCCTGCCAGGTTGCTCAGTCGTTCTGACCCAAGCAGGATTGCTTACATGAGTGAAAAATTCAAAGTCATCTTGCAGTGCTGCTTAACAAAGTTGTGCCCACACTGGTCGTGGTAGAGTGTTACTGGAGGAGCTTTCCTCATGCTTATCTGTGCTTTTACTCCTTCCATTTGTCTTGTTGCCTTGGTGCCTCTCGCTTCTGGGTTTTTCTTTAGGAGGAGCTTTATGTCTCTGTTAGGATACATTTGTGAATTCACTGCTTTTTCTCCCAGAACTTAAACTGGAGACAGATTTTTAGTATGTTTTACAGAACAGATGTGAAATCCAAGCTAATTAAACTAATCTGATAAAATAGGTTTTAGAATTAATCTAATATAAATGTGCTACTCTGTAAAAAGCACACATCAGCAGTACTTATTGTCTGTAGCTACAAGAGTGGGAAAAAAAAAGCCCACACGCATTCAGCTGCTGCAGCAGCAAAGAATTTCCTTAGAACAGTGGACATGATAATCACAATGCAGTTTGTTAGCCTAAACTTGCTAATAAAGGTTTGTGCTCAGACCTAGTCTCAGTGAGAAAGGAGAGACTGAGCTGAAAATCATCTGTGGAAACCTGGCAGATTTGTGAGTTGGGTGAAGAGAAGATAAAATATGATTTTCAGGCTGTAATGAAAGATGGTTTTGGAGGATGTGTGCATGTGCAAGGAGCCTGAGGGAAGAAGTGGAAGATAGGAAATTCTGCGTCTTTGAACACTGACAAATCACCTGGCTCTGCTTAATGATCTGACAGCATCTTCTCACCAGCTGCATTAAGATTTGGGCTATTCATCACCTTCATAGATTCATAGCATTAGGTAGCACAACTTTTCTATCAACACATGATTTTTCCTGCCTGGTGAGCTGAAGAAAAGCTTCTTACAGTTCCTTCAGTAGGGGAAGTACACAAACAGGCAGGTTCTACTCCATGTCAGATTATGGGATTTGTGTCTCTGAACCATTTTTGTCTGCCATAACCATTTCAAGTTGGAGACATTGATTCCAGAAACTGATATTTTGCTATTCATCATTAAGGATTTGGTCAAAGGTTTCTTCTGATCGATTTATTTATGCCTTCATAAACTTGCCTCTCAGTAAGACTTCCCAGTGTCTACTGTGATAAATTTAGGAATGGCTGAAGATCATAAAAAAAAAAAAAAAAAAAAAAAGAGAGGTTTTCATAGAGATAGCATTTGTTTGGGGAAGCGGTGGTATCTTTACCATTTATTACTGGGAAGCAACTTTGTCATCACATTTGTTGGGAGACAGCTGTACAGCTGCTGGATGGAACTAGTTTTTAGAAAGCTGGTTTATAAGAAGTGACATTCATCACTGATCCACTGAAAGGCCTTGGTCCTGCCAAGACTAATGGGTACACTGTAACATCAGCAACTATATTGAAATAAAAAATGATAGTTTTTACAGTGTTTGGGGGTTGGATTTAATAACATTTTAAATGTTTTTGTGTGAAGATGGTGTTGATGGTTCTGGTGGTGAAGTTATATTGGTCACTCACGTGATTTGCTGTAGATTGAAATATAGATAATAGAATTTGGGAAGGATCTTTCAGCTCATTGAGTCCAACACTTAACCTAGCACTGCCAAGTCACCACTATACCATGTCCCCAAGTGCCACATCTACACCTTTAATGCCTCCAGGGGTGCTGACTCAGCCACTGCCCTGGGCAGCCTGTTCCAAAGCTTGACAACCCCTTCAGTGAAGAAATGTTTTCTGATATCCAACTTAAACCTTCCTTGGTGCAACTTGATGGCCTTTCTTCTTCCTGAGGGTCTCCCCTTGGCATCTTTTCCTCCAAGCTAAGCAACTCTAAATTCCCCTCAGCCACTCCTGATAGGACTTGTGTTCTGGACCCTTCACCAGCTTTATTGCCCTGCTTTGATTAGCTTTTGGACCAGGAAGGACTCTCCAGTGCTTGTGCTGTTCAACTTTAAGAGAATATTAATGTATAAATTGATGAGATTTTATGGTTACCTGAACAATGTGTGGAAACAGGGAGGGCAGGACTGGAAGTGGGGGCATTCCATTTATAAATTACAAACCCAGCCCCTGCTGTTTATAGTATAGAGTTTGTGTCCTATAGCAAAGCTCTGGTGAGAAGCCAGTCAGAAGCATGTTCTGATTTGACTGTGCTTATGAGATGTTTTGTTTTCATTAAGTTTATTTGCATATCTGAATTTGTCTAAGAGAGACCTACTGAACAGTGTTTAAATTAAATTTTAGCATTTGCCAGAATAAAAATGAACATTGTGGAATTGATGACAAAAACTACATTTTCTGCAAGCATCACAGAGGACTTTGTTATAACTAACACAGTACCTTATGCAAATATTCTTAGTTGAAAAGGATTAATCCCTTTCCAAAGGGCCAGCACAAATCTTTCAATGGCACATAAGCCTGCTTTTGAGGGAGCAGGTGCTTAGCAAGTCCTGAGGATTCTGATTTCTAAACTGTACACTGCATTGACACATACAAATACCTTAAAAACAGATTTCCAAACTCTTATTATTTCACAAATTTGCTGTAAATTCTGTATTTTGTGAATTTAGATGTAATTTACATGGCATGCAGAAATTCTGCAAGAGCAGGATCACGTGAGCTATATCATCTTTAAGTTTGTTCTTGAACAAAGCTGTAATTGAGGATCGGCCAGGTCCATTTGCCAAGCTGCTCATTTTGCTCATTCATAGCAAGACACTCTTATTTTGTAAAAATCCTTTTGTTGGTGAAGACAGCAGGCAGGTTCTATTCTGTCCTCGAAGAAGGTGGCTTGGTGCCAGTGTCAGCAGCCAGCAATCCAAAGTGTTTTGTTTAATCACAAGATTAATTTTTCCTTTTATTGGCTTTTCCTTTCAATATCACCAAGCATGACATGTTGTAAAACAGAAACACTGGTTGAACAAGGGTTGGCGGGCATCTCTAAGCCCCCTGGCTATGTTGATAGCAAAGTGAACATTTGGCTTGATGAGCAGCCAGTAGAGACTCCCAGGAAACCAAACTGGGAGAGCACACTTGGCAATGCTTGGGCTGTGTGCCTGGTGAGGAAGAGGGGAAGGGAAAGCAAAATGCACCTGGGTATAAGAGCTATACTGGGACTCACGTGCTTTTCCTCCTTTTTCCTCCTTTAACATTTTAAGCATCTGCAGTTTCAATAGCACATCAGACACCTGAGTTTTTGTGTGGTAGATCCAGTCCATGGATGGTCTGTGGTTACATTAGAATGTATTTATTCTAGCCTTAGTGTGGCCATATGCAAGTTAGCTTCTAAAAGAAAATGGCAGAGGATCCAAATCAAAGTTAAAGATTTGTATTCATCCCACTAAACACAAGGACTTGTGCCTTGCATTGAACCGTATAGGAAAAAAATTACTTTTTTTTCCAGAAGAATGGTTCACAGCTTCTTTATTCTCATAGTTTTCAGCAGTGACTGGATGAGCATCCCTGGTGTTCTGAGCCATCATGCAGAAATCTGGTCATGGGTGGGAGTGCTTATGGTGGAGGGGCTTTGTCTGCTCCTGTATCTGCAAATAACCACATCTGTTCATCTTTATTCAGGGGACTCTGATGGTCTTGGAATGGAAAGTTTAGCAGAGTTTGGTGTGATAAGAATGGATAACTGCTTGGCAAAGACTTGTGAGCTTCCAGAACTCTGCATTTTGAGGGTTATTAAATATTTTAAATTTACATGTTTCTGTCTTTCTACAGTCTATATTATAACCTATGAATATTGTGTTCCCAGTGGACAGATGCTAGAACTTCACTGGGTATAGAGGAAGGTAGGTGTAACTTCAGAGTAGTTCCTTTTCAACTAAGATTTCTGGTTTTGGATTTGGCTTGTTTTACTGATATCTTCAGCATAATAGCATGGATTTGCATGTACCTTTTTCAGCCAAAGTTGATTTATTAGCTTTTCACAATCAAACAATAGGGCAAACAATAATGTTAATCTTCTGTATGAATAATACAGCTGCTAAAAGATCAGGAACCACTTCATGGTATAGTCAGGTGCTGCTGGTAATTTGTCAATGTCAGGCTCCTCTGAAACCAAAGGTTAAAGATTGCTGGCCTGACCTGTGGTTGTTCCAAGTTCACATGTGACAGGAGCTGCTCCTGTCAATTCTTTCTACTACTAGAGATCCTTCTGCAGTGAAACTGTTCTGTGATTGATAATCTTGAAAAGATTTCAATAGCTCTAAAGTAAAAATTCACAAATGTCACTTTTTCAAACAGACAAC